GGGAAGAGGCCAGCACGCAGACTGATCCTCTTAGAGCCTGCCCTGTGATTTCCTGCAGCCAAAGGGAATCCCTGAAGACCAAGGTCTCTGCCAGCCACAGGCCCCTCCCCAAGGAGCACTACCAGAAAGCTGCAGCTAGTCCTGTCTACAGGCCCTCTCCCCAGCCTGCCCTTTAGGATTTGCTGAGTCAGGCATTCAATGTCCTTATGACTCTTTCTACAGCAGAGCTCCTGCTGCTTCATAGGAGGAAGCCCTGGCTCAGCCAAACCTGACCTACTTGATAGGAGTTTCAAGTGTGCCTTAGCAGGTGATAGGACTGGGAAGGATGGGCTTCCATGCGGCACCAAATCAGCACTGGTATTCCTCAAGATTAGCAAGATCGAGGTAACTAGCTTTCACTCTCTCTGATGTTCCTCTTGATGGGACTAACTGAGCCTTTATCACTTACCTGAGCCTTTCGTTGGCATTCTGTGCTGGGCTTTTGCCTTGGAAACTTAGGCTTTTCAGACTTTGTGGTAAGCTGTGAACTGTCGTGGACCACTGCTTCCTCTCTAGATGTCACCCAGAAGTTTTCTTGTAGTGCTTCAGGAGCTGAGGTGGAGAAGGCTTCCAGGTGTGACAGCCAACCTGGAGCTTCTGTGACCTGCTCTTGCTGGCAGCAGTACCTTGCATCAATGTCAATGGTGGATGCCAGAGTTACAGCTACTTGATTTTAATCAGAGGGAGAGAACACTCCTACCCCTGGAGGTATCAGGAGTTCAGGTGAGGGTGTAGAGGGCAAGGAAAGCTTTATCCCCCCTACTCCCATCCCCACCCCCAGCAACTGGGGTAATGGAGTTCTTGTCTGTCTTTTCCTTGGCCTTCTTGCCCTTGGTAGCCAGAGGAAGATGCATCTTTTGAAACAGATGTAATTTCCTGCTTTGTCACAGCTCATTTTCTCTGCACTGTTCCATTTTCTTTCTTTCTGCTTTGATTTTGAAACATGATCTCACTATTTAGCCATGGCTGTCCTAAAACTTGTTATGGTGACCAGGCTGGCCTTGAACTCACAGAGATCTACCTTCTCTGCCTCCTGAGTTCTGAGATTACAGGCTACTGTGCTCAGAGTCTTCAATATGTTTTCCCTCTTCTGATAATTTCTCTTAGAAATATCAGCACTGAGGACTTAAGTCACTAAGTCCTACACCAAGTGGTCCTAAGGGGTCAGAGGAGGCCAGTGAGTTGATAGGGTGACACATGACCCAAATAAAGGAAAACCAGGCTTTTGCCATCTAGCAGCTGCCAAGGCAGAGGGACATGCAGCCAGCACAGCCTGGGGAAGGGATCTGTAATGAAGGAAGCAAGAGCATGGCTTCAGCCTACTGGGAATGGGGAAAATCTGGAGATTTTTGTTTGAGAGGTTCTGAGGTCCCTACAAGGTGCATAAAAGCCACACAGGAAAAAAGGAAGTGGGTTAAGCCACTTTTTGCCAGAGGTTGTAAGCTACACAGCACTGGATGGCTTTCTTGAACATAAGTCGGAGTCTTGATCTCTGTTAATTTATGTATTTATTTTTGTTGTTGCTTTTGGGTTTTTTGTTTTTGTTTTTGTTTTGAGACAGGGTTTCTCTGTGTAGCCCTGGCTATCTTGGAACTGTGTAGACCATGCTGGCCTCAGACTCAGGAATTCACCTGCCTCTGCCTTCCTAGTGCTGGAATTAAAGATGTGTGCCACCACTGCCTGGCTGTTTTGTTTTTGTGACACAGGGTCTCACACTGTAGCCAGAGATACTGAGGTTGCATCATACTCATGGTGACCTCCTGTCCCAGCTTCCTGAGTGCTGCCTTTATAAGGGTGAGATGCTATGCTTTAGCTTTAGGGTCTGTTTAAATAAGTGAGATAGAGAGATTTTTAGTAACTGAGGTGTGATAGCAAAGCTGAGTCCAGGCCAAAAGAGACCCTGGACTCTATAATGTTTTCTGGATGGTGGGTGAGATTAAGTATAGTCTGTGCTCTCTTTAAACTCACGGGTTTGTAAAAATAGGAAGATGAAATTGAATACGTCTGATGGTTAAAGAGAGCCTGCAGGCTGGGCGGTGGTGGGCACAGGCAGGCGGATCTCTGTGAATTTGAGACAGCCTGGTGTACAAAGGCTAGTTCCAGGACAGCCTCCAAAGTCACAGGGAAACCTTGCCTTGAAATCCCTCCTCTCAAACCGGGCGTTGGTGGCTCACACCTTTAATCCCAGCACTCGAGAGGCAGAGGCTAGGTGGATCTCTGTGAGTTCGGGACCAGCCTGGTCTACAAGAGCTAGCTCCAGGACAGCCTCCAAAACCACAGAGAAACCCTGTCTCAAAAAAACAAAAACAAAAAAAAAAAAAAAAAGAAAAAAGAAAAGAAATACCCCCTCTCCAAAAAATAAAAAGAGCGCCTGCAATTCCAGCTACTTAGGAGGTTGATGCAGGAAAACAAAAAAGATGATTGAGCACTTAGCAAAGCAATGTAGCTTGCTTGAGGCCCTGAGTTCAATCCTTAGCACTGAAAACAAAACAGTAGTAGAAGAAAAAAAGAAAAAGTAAAAACCTGTGAGAGATGCCAAAGTGCAGAGTTCTCCATTGCTTTGGAAAGATTTTTGACAGGGACCGCTGAACCCACAGGTGGAATTCCTGTACTACAGTTGCAGTTGGGCTGTGTGTTGAATCTTCCAAATAATGCCTGTCTCTTTGGTTCTTTAGTATCAAGTGGGGCAGCTGTATTCTGTGGCTGAAGCCAGTAAAAATGAAACTGGTGGTGGGGAAGGTGTGGAGGTCTTGGTGAACGAGCCCTATGAGAAGGATGACGGCGAGAAAGGCCAGTACACACACAAGATCTACCACTTACAGAGGTACGTGCCCCAGGTGACTGGGCGGGAACTCGCCTGCCTTGACAGTGGTAGTATTGGCTAATTGGGAGTGTCTCCAGGTTATAAACTGGCAGCTTGAGCTGCTTCATCTCTCAGATTGGGCATGGGTGGTACTTTGTTCATTTAAAGATTTTTTTGTTATAAAAAAACAAAAGTGGCTTCACTTACCCTATTATACTCTCAGTCCTTAGAAGCTATTTTGAGATATTTTGGCATCCTGTGGGCCCTTCCATTGTCCTGAGTACAGGTATATGTGTGGACTGTATGAACAAACACTCATTTCCTATATTATGTGTTGATCGTACCATACTATACACACTGTTCTTTCCTCTGTAGTTAACTCTCATGTCATAGCTGTCTTCCATACATTTCCTGCCTGGTTGTTTGCTGGAGAGTTAGCCCAGAGCTAGGCTGTGGTCAGCCCTTGAGCTCCCTTCCTAACCCTCCTGGCCTTACTCTTTCAAAGCATTCATAAAAACTGGGCTGCTGGGTGATGGTGGCGTACACCTTTAATCCCAGCACTCAGGAGGATTGGGCATGGTGGATCTCTGTGAGTTCAAGACCAGCCCTACAAGAGCTAGTTCCAGAACAGGCTCCAAAGCCACAGAGAAACCCTGTCTCGAAAAAACAAAAAACAAACAATAAAGAACTGGGCATGATGGTGTTTGCTCAGAATCTCAGCACCTGGAAAGCTGAGGCAGGAGGATGGTGAGTGTAAGGCCAGTTAAGACTGTAACTAGTTCCAGGTCAGTCTAGGCTACATAATGTCTAGAAAACAAAACCTCCAATGAAACAAAGGAACAAAACCCTCCCAATGAATAAATAACATATTTAGAAAGTACTTGCTCATTGTACATGTGCTGTAAGCTGTTTGAGCAGCCCTCTCCTGAGATCCATTTTATAGTAATTTCCATTTATAGTAAGACTCCTGCAGAACTACTTCTGCATACTTCTATCTATAAATCTGTAGTAAATGTAGTAACAAGTATGTTTGGTAGGTCAGGTAGAATTTAAATTCTAATTTTGTGGAATCAGATACCAGAGAAATTTTAGTACCTCCTTTTTTTTTTTAAGGTTTATTTATTTTTATTTTATGTGCATTGGTGTTTTGCCTTCCTGTGTGTCTGTATGAGGGTGTCTGAAACCTTGGAACTGGAGTTACTGACAGTTGTGAGCTGCCAGGGGAGCAATGGGAATTTAACCCGGGACCTCTAGAAGAGCAGCCAGTGCTCTTAACTGCTGAGCATCTCTCCAGCCCCAAGTACCTTTTCTTTTTTTTTTTTTTTTTAAAGTTATATCGTGTGTGTGTGTGTGTGTGTGTGTGTGTGTGTGTGTGTGTGTGTGTGTGTGTGTGTGTGTGTGTGTGTGAATTGAGACAGGGTATCTCTATGATGTAGCTCTGGCTGGCCTGGGACCTGCTATGTAGACTAGGCTGGCTTTGAACTCAGAGATGGAGATCTGCCTGCCTCTGCCTCCTAGTGCTGGGTTTAAAGGTGTCTACCACTGTGCCCAGCTAATATATTTTAAGATTTGTTTCATTTGAATTATGTGTATATGTGGGTATATGTATGTGAATGCAGGTACCTGTAGAGGCCAGCAGAAAGGTTTGGATCCCCTGGAGGAGCTGAAGTTACTTGCTCTTGTGGGTTTCTGATGAGGGTGCTAAGGGACACTCAGGTCCACTGCAAAAACAGGATGTTTCCTGACCATTGGGCCATCTCTCTAGTACCTTAACATTGTCTTTTACATTTATTTTAGTGTGTGTGTGTGCGCGCGCGCACACGCGTGCGTCCATGTATGCACTTGCCTTTGGAGGGAACCAAACTTGGATCTTTTTTTTTTTTTTTTTTTTTTTTTGGTTTTTCAAAAAAGGGTTTCTCTGTGTATCTTTGGAGCCTATCCTGGCACTTGCTCTGTAGACCAGGATGGCCTTGAACTCACAGAGATCCTGCCTCTGCCTCCTGAATGCTGGGATTAAAGGGGATTAAAGGCGCTCATCATCACTGCCCGGGGGAACTTGGATCTTCTTGAAGAGTAGTAATTGCTCTTAACTTCTGAGGCACCTCTCTAGCCACACCACCTTTTTAAAATTATTAAAAGATTTTTCCCCCCAATATTATCAAATAACCGAGGTCCTTACTTATGTACTGGAATTTATAGTAAACCACACATATTTGCTGAATCCCAAACCTAAGCGATTTTATCACAAAACCACGAGCTGACCCAAAGGGTCTTGAAACCAGCGGTAAGCATGTACCGCTTGAATGAAGTCAGCCAGACTATTTAAGAAGTGATTCAAGCAAGGTTGGATAGAGAGCTCAGCAGTTAAGAGTGCATGCTGCTCTTGTAGAGCCCAGCACCCACATCAGGCTGCTCACAACTGCCTATAACTCCAGCTCCAGACAATCCACTGTCTTCTTCTGGCCACCAAGGGAACCTGCACCTATGTGTACATATCCACACACAGACATGTATGCATACACACAATTTTTAAAATTTTTTTTAGTTGATAAAGAGCTATCCATACAGGCCCATGACTTGAATTCAAATTCCTGAACCCATGTAAAATCTGGTTACAGGAAAGTGCACAGTAGGACAGGAGAATCCCTGGAAACTGATGTGCCAGCCAGCATTGGCAGAAATAGCAGCAAACATCACAGGAGACCCTGCCTCAAATAAGGGAGCAGCTGAGGACTGTCACCTGAGGTTGAATTCCAATCTCTACCTGAGCACCATGGCATACACATAGCCTCACTCACAAACAAGCAAGCACATATGTATTTTATACACACACAATAATAACACAACAAAACAAAAAAGAAACTATATAGAACTGGGAGAAATAAATCTGAATCTTTTGACTTTGTGATCCAAGCACACAACATAAAATTCAGCATTTTAACCATTTTGAATTGTGCAGTTTAATGACATTAAGTACATTCACACTTTATGCAATTTAAACCTGAGTCTTGGGGGCTAAAGAGATGGCTCAGCGGTTAAGAGCACTGGCTGCTTTTCCAGAGGTCCTGGGCTCAGTTCCCAACACCCACATGGCAGCTCACATCCATTGGTAACTCTCTTGTTCCAGAGGATCTGAATCCCTCTTCTGACCTCCATGGGCACCAGGCACATAAAAATGCATGCAGACAAAACACTCAAACACATAAAATTAAATTAAGTTGCATCAAATTTTAAGAAGCTGAATTTTAATTCCTCATCCCTAAATAGAACTGAACTTCGATTCATTTTCATGTGAAATCCTTGGTTTGCTGTAGTTGCTACTCTGGTGAAAGGACTGTGTGAACCAGGCTTGGTAGGTCTGGGGCCGAGTAAGCAGCTCTATGGTCTGAGTAGATCTCTCTGTTGTTGCCTGCTCATTGAACTCAGATGAGCTCAGGGGTAGAAAGTGCAACCTTCCTTGCTTCTTCCATGCAAGAACGAGTGTAGATGCTGAGTTGCTACCACTGATAACTCCAGAACACCTCATTTAAAGGGGGGTTGTTCCTGGTGGTCATCACCAGTGGCCCTCATGGAAACAAAAGCCTTTCTGGGATGACATTCTGATACCCCATCCATCTCCTTAACATCTGTAAGGTCCACATTGCTTTTCCATTTTCCCTGGTGTCGATTGTTTCAGCAGGTTCCAACTGTTGTCTTGCCTTCCATTTCTCTGTGTGGCAAGCATTTTGTCTGAGGATCTGTGCTCTCTTGAAAGCTGTAAATATAAGCTGCCCTTTGTCCTTGGGATGAAGTTCAGCTGCCTCACTTAGCTTAGAAGCTCATGTGACTCTGCTCCTGGTGTTCTCTTGCCTTCCACCCAAACCTTGCAGGAACTCTTCTCTCTCGAAGCCTTTTCTGCCCCACTCCCATCCTGTTTCTTGGCATCATGCACACCTCCTGCTCCATGTATGTGTTTCTGTGTTATGACTGCCCCGAGGAGCCTGCCTTGAGTCCTTTGCCTTCCTCCCTAAGCTTTTGCAGTGCTCCTCCCCCCCCCCCCCCCCCCCCCCCCCCCCCCCCCCCCCCCCCCAACACATTCTTTCAGGACTGTCATTAGTTGTCTGCCTCTGGACCATTTGGTTCCTCTGTATCCAGTGCCTGGCACACAGAAGCATCACCTAGATGAATGTGTATCCGTGTGTAAAGACTCTTAGAGGCTTGCTCTGAGGTCTTGGAGTTTGTTGTCTGCTGTGGGGCTAGCTCTTTCCATTAGGTTTGAAGCATAAATAAAGGTGGTGAATTTGCTAGAGCTTATAGAAGATTATATAAGCTCCCATCTAAAAGCTAAGAAAGGTGGGGCTTCAGATGTAGCTCGGTGCTTGGGTACTTGCCTATCGTATGTAAGATTCACCCCAGTAACTAACACACACACACACACACACACACACACACACACACACACACACACACACACACAAGGGAACTAAAAAGGAATTTATGTACTTTCAGAGGATTAGGTACATACTATACATACTGCTGGGTAACGTGAGAGGAGCTGAGGAGATGTTTCAGTGGCTGACAATACTGGCTGCTCTTGCAGAGGACTTGGGTTTGCTTCCCAGTACACACATGGTGGTTCATAGCCATCTGTAACTCTAGTTCTAGTAGATCCAAAGCCCTCTTATAACCTGGGTGGGCATACATGGAGCACAGAAATACACAGAGGTAAAACACTAATACGCATAAAGATAATAAATAAATCTTTAAAAACAGTGGAAAAATTGAATAGAAGAAAATCTTATCTATGTGTGATTGTGTGCACCTGAAATCCCAGCACTTGGGAGGCACAGGCAGGTGGATCTCTGTGTGGAGGCCAGCCTGGTCTACAGAGCAAGTTTCAGGACAGCCAAGGTTACACAGAGAAACCCTGTCTCAACAAGGGCATCTAAGTTTAAGGCAGGCCAGCCTTGGCTGCATAGTGAGTTTAAGGATAGTCTGGATCCTAGGTAGGGTGTTTTCTTTCTTTCTCTCTCTCTTTTTCCTTTCCTATGATAAAGACTGTGACCAAAAGCAACGTGGGGAGGAAAGGGTTTATTTCACTCATAGATTATAATCTGTCATCAAGAAAAGTCAGGGCAGGAACTCAAGATAAGGACCAGGAGGTAGCACCTGAAGCAGAGGCCATGAAGCAGTGATGTTTACTGGCTTGCTCAGACTCTTACCATCCAAGACAACCTGCCCAGGGATGGCACCACCCACACTGAGCTGAGCCCTCCCACATCAACCATCAATCAAGAAAAATGTCCTACACACTTGCCTACAGGCCAGCCTTTTGGAGGTCCTGTTGATCAAGAGTGAGACTTGTTTATTTTTAAAGAAGAGCTGTATATCTAATTTAGTTGGTAGAATGCTTGGCCAGCATGCTCAAGGCCCTGAGTTTGATACTGGCACCGCATAAACTGTGTGTGCTCGCATTTGCTTGTAATCCTAACATTGCAAAGAGAGGCAGAAGGATCAGAAGTCTGAGGCCAGTATAGGATACATGAGACTCTGTGGTAAGGGAAGAGATGGAGACAAACACCAAGCCGGCAGAGGAGAAGCAGGAAGGGAGAAGAAAATACTTATACTGAGAGGCAGATGAGAACTTATGAAAATAAACCAGATGTTTTGGATATCATTTTAGTGTGTGTGTGTGTGTGTGTGTGTGTGTGTGTGTGTGTGTGTGCAGGTCAAAGGTCAACATTGGGTGCCTTCCTCCAGCACCTAAAAGATGCAACCCTAGGTAGCCTGAAACTCACTATGTAGACCAGGCTGGCCTCAAACTCACAGAGATCCACCTGCCTCTGCCTTCTGAGTGCTGCAATTAAAGGAGTGTGCTACCACTTCCAGCCCCAATGTTATGAGGTAGGTTCTCTAACAGAACCAGTTGGTTAGACTGGCTTGTCCACTGATCTTTAGGAATCCTCCTGTCTCTGTCCCCACCCCAAACACTGGGGTTAGCAGTGCTAGTACACCTAGCTTTTTATGTGAGTGCTGGGACTCCAAACTCAGGGAGGTACTTGACTGACTCAGCCCTTGGAACCCACCTTCGAAGTAAGTTAGCTGGCCCCACCAGCGGTAGACCTAAGCTGTACACAGTTGATCCTGGCTATATTGCTTTCCAGTGGGCTCTGGGAGACTATAATGAGAACAAAATGTCTACTGTAAAGTGGCAGCAGGCAGCACAGGATCTCATAAGCTCTTGTTCATGGTGAGTAGCAGGGCAGGTGTGGGTGCTGTCTGTACTGGTCAAGCTGAGGTGTCAGGCTCTGGCAGGTGGCTTCTTAAACACTGTAGCCTGCTTATCTCATGGAAATATGCTTATCAACTTTAGACCCTGAAAAAGCAGGAGCTATGGCCGAAGGCTGCATGCACACCTTTTATCTAACTTTCTCTTGCCTCCATTTTTTTGTTCATCACTTCTCTTTTTCACTACAGCAAAGTACCCGGATTTGTTCGAATGCTAGCCCCAGAAGGAGCCCTGAATATACATGAGAAAGCCTGGAATGCCTACCCTTACTGCAGAACCGGTGAGCACAGTGCTGCCCAGAGCTGAGATTTGGGCCCAAGGTGGCCAGGAGTGGACAGTAAGACTGGAGGTAGAGTGAGTCAGGCAGGGCTTTGTGTTTACTTCTCAGAATAAGCCAGTGGAGGATGAGGGGGCTCCCTAAGGCTTAGGAAGGTGTGTATGTATTATCCATACTGCTTAGATAAGCTGATAGTCATAGCCAGAGACAGTAAGGACCAACTCCTCTTACTTGGGTTTGACAGTTTTGATTTCTTTTTTGTTTGTTTGTTTGGTTTGGGTTTTCAAGACAGGGTTTCTTTGTGTAGCCTTGGCTGTTTTGGAACTTGATCTGTAGACCAGGCTGGCCTCAAACTCAGAGATCTGCCTGCTTCTGCCTCCTGAGTGCTGGGATTAAAGGTGTGCACTGCTACCACTACTTGGCAAAAAATTACTAATTCTTATTTTTTTTTTTTTTTTTTTTTTTTTTTTTTGGGA